ATAACGACAGCATTTACCACCCTGATGACGCCTGCGACTCCAAGCCAAGACACAAGGGACGGAGACTGTGCTTCATTGCTGCCATCATGGCAGATGGCCGTGACAACTCGAAACTCTTGACCTACGAAGCGTTTGAAGGTGGACGTAAGCAGCCCAAGGACTACCACGCCATGTTCAACCATACCTATTTTGTGGTTTGGTTCCGGCGCCTCCTCGATGACGTTGAAGCTCTGGGAAAGTCAAACGCGATCATCGTTTTAGACAATGCGAAATATCATAAAGGCCTACCTGACGACACGCCTAAGGGATCGTGGACGAAGGCGAAGATGATGGAAGCTTGTGTGTCGCTTGGAATTCCAACTGAGCCCAGGGAATATTGTTCAACGCTATGGACCAAACTCAAGAAACACGTCGCAGACAACGTCGTACCTGTCATCGTGAAGATGGCGACGGACCGCGGCCATGACGTCGTCTTCACGCCGCCGTATCACTCCGACATGCAACCTATTGAAATGGTTTGGTCGTATGTCAAAGGTGGTGTTGGTCGTCAATACAATACCTCCACCAAGTTCCCCGACGTCCGCGAGAGGCTGGATCGTGAATTCGATCGCCTTCCAAGCAGTGTGATCTACGATTGCATTTGTCATACGACGCGTAAGGTTGTGGACCTGTCAGCGTACCTACAGTCTTTGGACGACGTCGACGACGCCGCGGGATCGTGCTTTTCGTCGGACAGCGAGAGCGACAGCGATGGCGACAGTTGTGACGATTGTGACTTGGCTGATTACGACGGTCATGAGTAACACCTGTAAAATTTAATTGTCTTCGAAATAGATATTGTGGATTGTATAAGTTTTGGTGGGAACGTGATCTCTCTTACTTTATGGATTATCCGGAAGGTCGGTCGATGCCTTCGACCACTGTAAGCACGATTATGTTTTGCTTTCACGACCTGGTAAGAGTGACCGCCCTCCTCGCATACCAAAGAAGCACGCGGTACTAGCGATGCTACTGCACTTTGACACAGCGTCCGTGGAAGGCAAGACGTTGCACGAGCTCTTTGGCCTGGCCAAAGAGCACGTTTTGTCGAGCGCTTCGTGGTGCCGAAGAAGCCCTCGCGCGGACGCTAAGGCGTATACCTGACGCGTCAATCCGGTGGTCATCGAAGTCACGGCAAGCTCATTGGGCCTCCAAAGCATACGAGCGCGAACCGCTGGTGCAAGGTGTATTCGGCTTTGCCTACGGCAAGAGCTTGCGTGTGCAAGAACCATCCAACGTCGACCTACAGAATGCACAGTTTAACGGTATGGTACATGGTAACTTGTACATTGAATCCGCATAGTTTCTTGTAGGCTGGCCCATTGTGTGTTCGTTACTGGCGTTCTATGCTACGGTCTGGACGGGACATTGATATGGGGACGACATAACTGCCCTGGATCTTGGAACGATGGCGAGATGAGCCGTGGGCTCCAGGACATCCTGGCCGACGACACAAAGGTTGGGCCTCGAATTAAGGTTGCGTCTGACTCTGCGTTCCCTGTGGTTGGCTAATGGTTGGCTAATGTGCTGGTAGAATCATCACGCCCTTCAAGTAAGGCGACTTGGAACGCCATCTGAGTGCCATTCCCGATCGACAGCAACAGGCGAGAAAACGCAGCCATGACAACTTGTCTTGGTCGCTGAGCCCTCTTGACTGAAGGCGCATGTTTATGGTCAACTTGACTGGATGGGCTCAACAACAAAAGTGCATCGTCAACTGCTGCTTCCACTACCGTACAATCCTGTGTTGCGCTCAGTGTGACTCGACAACATATTTAAACTTTACAACTTTCGAGTACGTGGTTATGGTATAAGTCAAATTAATTAACTAAGACTTATACGTTAATTAGTATTTTTATGTGATTCTGCAAAAATATATGAAACAGCGGCTGAATAGCCTGATTCAAACTTGGGTTTTGACTAATTCAGGTGATAGGCTCCCTTCAAAAAACCAAATATATGCAAAACAACTTGAATCTACTAGAACAATATATATGCAGAATGCTATATTTCTTGTCGAAGAGCTTTGACATCAACAGAAGTTGAAACTGCTCGCGGCGTTCATCTCTCTCCCGACGCTCGGCATCAGCTTTAAACTCCCGGGTGAGTTGCTCTCTACGCCAAGTTTCTTCACGTTCCAGCCTCAACTCTTCACGAATTGCGGCACGTTCATCCATCGCAGCCATCATAGACATGAAGTCCGTTGTCGCTTTGGTATCTGCCGCCGCAGCATT